TTTTAGGACCCTTGTTATTTTTAGTTTATGTAGCCGATATTGCTAAGTCCATTCAAAATTCACAGCTACAGTCTTATGCGGATGACACTCAACTTACTTCGTTTATCCTGAGAACCTCCAGACTACTGCTATGGAAATTAACGAGGACATTGACTCTATTTGCACATACTCAGCCAATAACAGCCTAACCGTTAATGCTTCTAAATCTTCTGCTGTGCTGTTTTGTCCAAATCACAGAAGAGCCGAAGTCAAAGCTTCCTTGAGTATATCTATTAACAATCAAATTCTTCCTTTTTCTGAAAGTGTCAAGCGTCTAGGTGTGTTTATTGATGAAAACGTGCGGCTTTGTGAACATTTAAATAACCTCTTACAAAGAAGTTACATCCGTCTGAGGACTCTGTATGCGAACAAAAATTTGCTGAAAACAGTTGTGTGAATCTTTTATTGCAATCTAGTTTATCATCCTTGTTTGGATGTTGCAAGTCGTAACAGAATATCTGTAGTACAAAATAACTGCGTACGATTCATATTTAGTTTAAGAAAATTTGATCATGTTTCGGATCGTTATCCTTTAATAGGTTGGTTAAAGATGACAGATTTAGTTAAATACAACTATCTAACCTTTAGACATAAGTTACTTGTGTCTGGAACTCCAATTTATTTACGTGAAAAACTAATTTTTAGGTATAATGTTCATCAATGACATATCAGTAACACATTTGCTTTAACAATGCCACTTCACAGTTCATCTGTTTTTAACAGGTCCTTCCCATATAATGCATGGAAGTTGTACAATAGCTTAGATTACAGAACAAAAAGCCTGCCGCTGTATAGTTTTAAAAAACACTTAAGAGCTCTTCTGCTCAATGGTGATTCTTAAGGGTGTTTTTATCCAGCATTATATTTTTAAGCTAATTTTTATTTAGGTTGTAATCAGTTACATGGGCATTTTCCTCCTTTTATTTTCTTTACAGCTGTACTTTTTTACCATCTATTATTCTTATGCAGTTAATGGTTAAGTGTAAGAATAGCTGCCATAGCTAAACTTCGCCATTAAGCTGCTCACTAATCTAATTATAGATAATAATATATGCATTATCTTTAATTTGTTTTTTCTAATAAAATACGGTTTATTATTATTATTATTTGTACAGAAAAGCTATCCGATCCAATAGAAAAAAGTAAGTTTGACAGCTTTGTAACTGCTTCTGATAAAGAAAATAAAAATTCTTTTAATAAAAAGTTGCAAGATGCAACATAAGTATTTTTTAAAAAAACATTTATGTTCGCTAATCAACGATGATTTGACGCAAAAATTTTAGCATCCTATGAAATTTTGGAGTACTGGAAGTGCCTTTTTGATGCAAAACAACTTCACATAAAATCTCCAAAATCAGAACTTGCTCTGGAAATTTAAAATAATTATAAATATGGTACAGGCACGCGGCAAGATGTTTTAAATTTACATACTCCAAAAATTTATACTGTCGATGGTATGGCACTTGTTCGTCGAATCCAATTAAAATTTTTCAACACGTTTGGTGATTTTGCTGACGCATTCTACAATAACATGAATAATTTATTCTTACAGCCAAATGTAACTACTCAGGTATTGTATTTGAGAAAATGATGATATTTCGATAAAATATTTGGAATCAAATATGAAGAATTTCATAATTTCAAATGAACACAATAAAATTCCAACTAATTGTAATAATTTCTTTGCAAGCACTGAAAACAAGTTACAGCTCGTTCGATATCTCTGTACTGCTGCTCCTAAAGCTACACAAGTAGAAGAAGATTGCGAGTTACTTATATGTTTTTGGCGGATTTGATGAGTCATCAAAATGTTTTAAATTACAAAACTCCTTAGTTTTTGAAGTACCTGAGTTAAATTCTAACCATTTTGAAGCCGATTCAAGGACTTGTCACATATTTCACGCAGTAAAAAACCAATCTGCTCATATCGTAATTCTTAGAGCTGATACAGATATTTTTATCCTCGGAACTTGCTTGGCGAATTTTGAAAGCATTACACTCTCTAAGTGGCTGCGACTCGACTAGCAGATTGGGCTCGAAAAATAGTTTAAAAGCAGCATCGTTGGATTTTGTACAAAATGTTCTGGGGCGTTTAGGAAATCCATACATGACAGTAGAACAGTTAACAGAATTAGAAACCATTCAAACCAATCTTTTCTCAGAATAAAATTAACTGCTAATGAACTTGGGCATAAATTAATTTGTCAAAATATCGCCTTCGGCTTAAACTTATCAAAAGTAATTTGCACATCAGATGCTCTACATTTACATTTGTTAAGAGCTTCAGAACAAACATATACAGGGTATAAACGTTATGATAGCCGTTAATTAAATGGGTTATAGAGGGGGTTGAAAGAAGTAAAAAGTTTCATATAACATGTGGGTCAAAACGGAATTTTTTTAGGGAAAAGCGACTTTAAAATAAAATAAAATCTGACAACGCCGCAATGCCAGACGAAAATTACGACGGAACGCGGTGCAAATAAAGATGGAGTTTGTTATTTTTGGCTCTCAGGTATTATTTCATTATTTGATAAACTACTCGTAAAATGCAAACAATTAAAAAAATGGACTTACCACTAACTGTCTCAGCACTTCACCTGGTGTGTGAAAGTTTATTGTTTTAAAAAAATTCACTTATAAATAGGGAACACAATTTTGATACATACATTGTTTTTCTTTTTAAAACCCACACTGTACTTTTTTGTATTTAAAGAAGGTGTTGAAAATGTCGTCCTCCACTTTCCACGCAAGCTTCATTACGACTAACCCAGTTTCTTCTTACTCCAGGTCCTCGAAGTTATCCAATTATTATTTTAGCCGCATTCAAAATTCTTTCGCGAAGTTGTGCTTCAGTTGTTATTGGACCAGCCCCATAAACCATCCTTTTAAGTCCTCCCCAATACCAGAAATCCATCGGATTGAGGTCAGGAGATCTTGCTGGCCATTTTCGAGGATCAGGAACATTTCGACCGATCCAGCGATTTGGATAATGTTCATTCAAATACTGAATGACGCCTCTAAAAATGTGTGGTGGTGTCCCGTCATAAAGAAACCCCAAATTCTGTCTCCGTTGCAATGGCATGTTGTTTAAGGTCTGTTCCAAAAGTTGTGGTAGGTTTTGGCTAGAAAGCTAAGGTATCCTTCTCCTGACAACTTTGGGGGTAACTCGACAGGGCCAATTACCTGATCGTCAAGGATACCCGCCCAAATATTTATTTTAAAACGTTGTTGGAAATTACCTTCAAGAATGGTATGAGGATTTTCTTGGGCCCACGTGTGAGTATTATGAAAATTTAATATCCCGTCTCGCGTAAAAGTACATTCGTCCGTCGCTAGAATGTTTTTAAAGAAATCCGGATTTTCAGTGTTTTTGTGTAAAAACCACTGATATAATGTTAGTCTGCGAGGGTAGTCTTCTGGTAACAAGGCCTGCACTCGTTGTATATGGTAGGGCTAAAGCAAATTGTTCCGTAGGATTCTATGGACTATGGTATGCGATAGTCCTACGCAGCGGCCTAATTCCCGAGTGCTGATATCTGCATTGATTTCCACGATATTTAAAATTTGTTCCTCCTGCTCTACAGTAACCTGTCTTCCACGAGTGCGAATATAATATAAGTCTTTGGCACAAATCTCCTTCTGTCTAAATTCGAACTGTAAGATTTGAATTCTAACGAGCTTCACCGTAAACTAACAACATGTCGGCGAACTCTTGATTTGAGAACATTGTAAATAAACACGACGATGTACGCGAACAAAAATAAAACAACACGCCCGATTCTCTGCTGGACAAAACGATAAAGTAATTTATCTATGCAAAACGATAACTAACCACTATTACCGTTTGCGATCGATTGCCGGTTCGATAAGAGTGATAAGAGACCGACGCGCTGTTGTCATATGTGTTTTGAATATTTAATTTAATGAAACTTACTTACTGACTATAAATTTTAGCTTAACTTAGAAAAACTTAATGCCATTTGTTTGTTAGTTACCCAATTTAAAAACGTTTTAGATTAGATTATAAAAATTAGTAACGTTGTGGTGATTGTGGTCGATATAAAGCACTTAAAATTGTAAACTATAAAGATATTTAGATAAAAATCTATTGCCTTTTGGACCATGGGTGGTATGAACTTTTTGACTTGTTTTGGCCTCCCTGTTACCCATTTCAATAATGACTACCATAACATTTATCCATATACAGGGTATATGGATAAATGTTGAGTAAACATTATTACAGCCTGTTGATTACACCTCATTCGGCGATGAACGAAAATATGGTAAATTGTATCCACGACAACTGACGAAGCGACCATTACCAGAATTATTGATTCAACCTTAATTAACAAACAGGCTTGTTCATGCGAAAAATCACAACTCAATTGTATTTCGTTGAGCAAATGTATTAATAATGACTGGGAAAATAAAAAAGATTGATTATTTGTATTTTTTTGACTAACTATAAGTATCTTTAATCATAGGGAACAATTGGACATTGTCACTAAAACAATCATCTAAATGGTTTCAAAGCACTTGTTCAGTCGATTTACTTGATATCTAAGGGGGTGAGGTATGGACCAACTAGTCATCTGGCAACATCCAGAATCATAATCTACAACTTTTTCTGAGTTTAAAACTATTTACAGAATGCGGTCCTCGTATTTTGCAAACTCAACTCCATCCAGCGCCCGGTCTAATTAGTGATGATGCATTCTGAATAACTGTTTAATAGTAATTCAGGAAAGCTGAGTACTTATTGTCAAAATTCTGTTACGTACGCTTTCAAATGATTTTAGACTTATGAAGAATTACAGACTTTCTTCCTTACAAACGTAGAGACAGAGAGAAAAAGACATAACATTCATCATAAAAAAATACCTACGAATAAAGGAATTCTGAAAAATTGCCATTCGCAATAGAGCATAATATTCTTATTGTTCTATTATCTATTCCAGCAATTGTGGCAATAAATGCCGTCAAATGTTTTGACTGCGTCGCACAGGCAGTAAGAGGCGATAAATGTGGTGAACGACAGAATCGAAGCACATCTTACTACTTCGATTGTGCGACACTGACGCCTGAATCAGGTGACAACTATTCATGTGCAAGACTAGAGTACAAGCAAGGTATGTAATTGCGTAATACTACAATTGAGGAGCTTGCGTTCAAAACCGCCTATATCCATTATTTGGATATTTTGACATTTTCGTTGATTTCGTCTAAGTTTGAAGAGCTCTGTCGAATGGCACGTTCATTGTGTTTTAAACCACCTATTTTTTGTATTTAAATTGCATCCAAAGTTGTGGTTTTGCATCAAATGGTTTGTTCGTACAGAGAGATGTTACCTGTTCGTACTTTTTCTGACTGTTTGCCGATCGCTAATCCGCTGTTCGTACAGAACCTTCTGACAGATCAGAGGACACCAGTCAACCAGTGACAGTGACAGGTATCAGAGTGTGTCGGAACTATCTCGAGGACTAAAATTGATTCGCAAGAGACATTTAGGGTGGATTTCACAATTTAACAAACCATTATTCTGCACCAATAGGGTACGAGTACCAAACAGTCCGTTAAATATACCCAATTAGCCTCAAGATCTCTCCTTCAAATTTTTGGCAGCAAATAGCATCAAAGTATTCAAAACAAAACACTGTAAAATATGAAGTGACAGCTTGCCATTGAAATCTTTTGAGTTTATTAAATATTATGAAATTATGTAAAACTGAGCCAAAATTTTTAAAAATGCTTGATGTCTGAGTAAAATCTATTTTTTCAGATTAGCTGAAGGTTTTTCCATGTTTACTGCAACTTTTGTAATCCATATGTGATTATATCACCTACTGTGTGCTTATAGTTTATCCTATATTTGCAAACTTGCACTTCCAAACCATTACATGAAAAACCCTTTTCACTCTAATTTTTGTTAGGTGTTGCATTTCAACACATTCATACACTTCTTTCCAGTTCCTCAACGAATTTTAACCCCACTGGCCCGAAACGGTTCAACAGTTTCAACATTCATACATACAATTGCAGTTGCAGTTTTTTGTTTTAATTTCAGTGTATAATCAGTCGCACCATCGGTGATGGTATATTCAACATAACTACGTATTTAGGGGTTCGTGCAGATTTAACGTGTACACGACGTCATCATTAGGCGCTTCTCTGGCGATGTCCGATTGCGTTCAGGTGCCTTCTGCAGGTACCTCTTCACCACGGTCAGGAGTTCATCCCAGCGCGGCTCTCGTTTTTTTTGCTCGAGGCATGACCATCCTCAATTAATCGCACAAAAAACAAGTCCAAGGCAGAATAACACACCCGAAGACGAACACCAAAACAAATCTCTACCGCAAATTCGTCAACATCTCAAACAAAAACAACAGATGATTCACCGCCTGGCTTTGACCGTAAATCGTCGTGGAATACGAGACGCCACAGAATTATCATAATTACGTCAATACGAGCATAGAACAGTATAGAAAGGGTTATCCAAGGGTAAGACGAGTTCCGAAACAACCCGAATCATGTCAAAAAATGGCTGTGACGTCAACAAAACGTTTGACCACCACTGGAAATCACTAGCTATACTACAACTATTTAAAACTGTAATGACTCATACGCGTGATCAACACGTGATCAGAGCTCGATCCCGGCTTCCTTCCAGTACAGCCGTATAGCGTACGACATAAATATGTCGTTTCTGTGGCTTTGCGGTGGTCAACAGCACAGACAGAGATGGAAATAATGGCTGATTGTTCTCCGCCGGTAGAACCAATGAAATCAAAGACGCGCCTCGACCGGCAGACTCATAGGCGTCGGCAACGCATTGGAACGTGTTTCGTTGAGCGTGTGTTTTTATAAGAATTGTTGTGTGATTGTTATTGTTGTGGTTTCTGTGGTTACTGTTTTGGTTATACTTAACCATGGAGAGTACAAATGGCACGAGTGGAAGTACTGAAAGCCAGGGAACAAGTAGACGGCTTCGTAAAGCACTGAAGAGGGACGCGAAAGAAATCGTGCTCAACGTGTTCAATTATCTGAACAGAACTATGTCGCAGGGAGATGCACTCGCGCGTTGTGAAAGTATGACAGGCGTTCCAGAGTGGACCATTCGCAGGGTGGTGCATAAAAAGAAGAAAACTGGAGCTACTACTGATCCAAAGTTTAATTTGAAGGGACGAAAGGCCGTTAAATTGGATGACGATAGCAAAATGGCGTTAAGGCGAACCGTACATTCATTCTTCTTTAGGAATGAGATACCAACCCTCAAGGCTGTACATGCAGCGATCAAGGAAAATGAAATTATACCCCAAATGAGCGTCGAGGTAATGAGGAAATCAGTATTGATAGAGTGACCTGAAATAGTCGCCTGGCGTCGAAAATACCTACGCGAAATGATTGAATATAGGCGACAAAGCAGAAAAATCTATTATTTGGACGAGACATGGGTAAATGCAGGTCACACAGTTAAAAAAACCTGGATAGACAAAAACGTAGTGAGTAGCCGGCAAGCAAGCATTGAAGGTTTGTCAACAGGTCTTCGTGGACCGTCAGGGAAAGGTCAAAGATTGATCGTAACTCATATTGGTAGCGATAGTGGCTTTTTAGAAGAGTGTGACTTGATTTTCGTCTCTAAGAAAGGAGGTGATCACCATGACGAAATGAATGCCAGCTGCTTCGAGAGCTGGTTTCAAGGGGTGCTTCAGCGAGTTGAGCCCAACTCTGTGATCGTCATGGATAATGCTTCCTACCATAGTCGTCGAGCCGAACGTGTACCGAGTATGGGATCTCGAAAAAGTGACATGCAGCAATGGTTGCGCGAAAAAGGAATCCCGTTTGACGATTCATGTGTGAAAGCGGAATTGTATGAAAAAATTAAACAGCACAAACCTGCGAACATTAGTTACGTGACTGATGAGATGGCCCGTCAATGTGGTGTCACTGTGCTGCGGTTACCGCCCTACCACTGTGAACTGAACCCAATAGAGCTCATCTGGGCTCAAGTGAAGGGTTATATTGCGCGCCATAACACAACCTTCAAATTATCAGACGTTAAGGTTTTACATGAGACTTCCATACAGCTAGTAACGCCCGAAGCTTGGCAGAATGCTATCCGTCATGTTGTGAAGGAAGAAACAAAAATGTGGCAGCTTGACCACCACATCGACACCATCATAGAGCCAGTTATAGTCAATTTCAACGAGGAAAGCGATAGCGACAGTTTATTACTGTCAGATGTAAGTGAAAGCGACGATGAATAAAGGTAATTCCCAAATTTTTGACTTACAATAGGTTTCAAACCACTCTTTATTAAGCATGTGACGAATCTAGTTCACCCATGTTAAACATTCATACCCCACCTATGAACAGCCGACTACTGGTAGTTAAGTGATGTTCACGTGAACATTGATGAGTCATTACAGTTTTAGATAGTTATAGTGTAGTTACCATCTGGCGGCGTAACACGTGGAGGACACTGGTGTAGAAACAGCTGATCCTTAAATTCGGTTACGTTAAGTCGTGCATGAGCCCGACATTTTTTTTTCAGTAATTACTAATAATTTTAGGTCTATGTCTACAGTAATTGCATTATGCATCTCGGAACTGTAGGGATTAACATGTTTTACACATATCGGTATTTTAGGATGGGGACGACAGACTGTTTTGATTGCTTTGAAGATATTCATTAACCCATGAATTTATAACAAATGATTATTATGATGTAAAGAGAGATGAGGAATTGGTTGGAATACATTTTATATTCTATTTTCTTGCAAATTCGCACAATTCAACAGGTATGTGTAGCTATAATGATCACATATGCACACAGTATATTGAACTTAACAAATTTCGAGATTGCCATGAATTAACAAACAACCAAACCTGCTGCCAAATTTAACAGCTAGAAAATCGACCTATTATTTCTCCCACTCCCATTCACTGAGGGGATAACGGATGGTCAAATGTACACCTATAACATAAATCAAAATAAATCAAGTTGTCCTGTTTTCTCTGTACAAAAGCATCATGTTGGAATCAAAAAGTGGTCTTGTTTATAATACAGTCGAATTTTCACGATTTTATTCAACATTTTAATAGAAATCACTGATATTCTGAGACCTTTGACAGCTTCCGTCAAATTGCATTTCGATAAGGTATTTTCCTATTGGTCCATAATAATAATGTTGGTGAAGTCGGCCCTTAATGAACTTTTCTCTAATGAACGGTCTGGGGACACGTTCGTATCAACGGGCCGTTGCCGATCTAGCTTCGACAACGGGCTTTGCTCCTCAGAGCTCTCTTCCATGGTGTCGCCCCGCGATGTGCCTGCCAGACAGACCCGCCTGACTTTGGCCTCCCATCGTAAGCGTGTCGATCTTCATACATCCAGAACTGGCCGATAAGACCGCTCCTTTGTCCCGAGGGTGTCGAGATCGTGTAACAATCTACATGCGGAGATTTTCCCAGTTCTACTAACTTTAGGCAGTTCAAAAATGGGAATAACAACGTTTCCTTAAGCTCCTGAAAGCAGTCTGCACGGTGCCTTGGCATGTAGGGTTCATCTGCGCGGCTGCTTCGGTGTAAAAAAAATGAAACCCAAAAACCTTAATTTTGTAGAGAAAACAGTGCCACAATTCAACAGAAACAAGTTTTTGTAACATTTTCGGGTGAGCAAGTGGCGGAAGAAATTTTAATGAAATTCCATTTTAAATATCAGCCAGCGCCAAATACTCTGTGCTCCATATTTTGTTTATTTTGAAAATTTTTGTTACAGTTGCAAAATGCGAAATTACGCGATTTAAGTCTTACTTCTATGTATTTTGGTAGTCTCAGTTCTTTTTGTCCATGTTGGGAACTCCATGAAACTTATAGCTACGTAAGCAGATCTTGATAATTGTAGTTATGTTCAGTCGTTTTAGCTTTTTAGTGTTATACACTTTATTGTTCAAAGACGTTATTAAATCCTTGTAGTATTTTCACTTCTTTCTTCTAGTAAGAGTCTGCATATACAGGGTGTTTCTAATTTGGCACTCACCATTTTGATCTTGGAAACTGTAAGGATACGAAGTCGCTTAAATGGGGTAGTCAACAAAGTGACACTTAGAAGGTTTCGAAATTCAAGGTA